TCCTTAGATCAAACTCTGTTTTGGGGTTGACAATGTATATGTATACAAACATACATACGTACATACATACACACACACACACAGGCACACACACATATCCATATCCTCATGAGGGGATATGATGAAGATGGTGATATAATAATATAAAAGTTTTACTTTCATATTATTAATATATCAACACACTAATATTAGTTATTAATATATTGTAATATTTTATAATAATAATTAATATATTGAAACTAATTAATGTAAAGGCAGGCTTGTGGCGACACTCCAATGAGATGTGTCAAATCCTTTGCAAACTTCAAAGTACTATGTTAATATTGGTAATTATTATTATTGTTTGTACCAGTACAGATTGTGCCTAAGCTGGACTTCTAACTCCAAGTCCGAGGCTTATTCACTACATGATTTCACGTTACACCTCCTTTTCCTTTCCAAATGCATTCTCCCCAGAACCTCACTAGGTTCAATAAAAAATTTAAGCCAAAAGGAAAACCAAAATCAATCACCAGACATTTGAGTGCTTCTTGAGGGCAAGGCATTCTATTAGGTGCCCATGGGAGATACAATGATAGAAATATAAGTGTCAACAAGTGATACACAGTTAACCATCAAACAAGTGAGCTTTGGAGACATTTCTAGGTGGGAGTAGGTAGACTAGGAAGATTTTAGTCTGCCAGTCAGCTAACAAGCATTTGTTAAACATTTATTAAATGTTTACTATGTGCTAGGATTTGCTTTTAATTGGGATAGAAAGAAAGCCAAAAAATAGGGTTCCTACCCTAGGGGATTATATTGTAATAGGGGAGATAAGCAAATATATACATACAAGATATATGCAGTGTTAATGGAAGGTAATCTCAGCTGAGGCTTGAGGAAGTATGTAAGATTTAATTAGGCTTTAAAAGATGGAGTAGGATTTGGACTGGTGGTGGTGAAAAAGGAAGGCAAAGACTTAGCCTTACTCCACTACTTTGTGTAACCCAAATAAGGAGGGGCCAATTCAATCAACATCATTTATGCAGTATCTTAACCACTTAACTAGCCCTCCACTAGGGATGGTGGTGGTGGTGGTGGTGGTGGGAAGCATATAATCAGATCCTTGCCCTCTAGGTGCTTACCATCTTTTGGAAGGGCAAGGACACACATTAAAGAATTATGAAGTACAATAAGGTGATGAACTGAATATGATCAGATATCATAATAACTAAATGCATAATTTCTTCTTGTGTGTCTGGCAGCTGGATTGTGGAAAGGCAGTTTGGGGAAGGAAAGGATGGTACCTTAATTCTCTCCAGGATGGGTTCAGGCTTTGCATTGGTGGTTCTAGTGTTGGGAGGGGAATAGCTGCAAAACGAATCAATGTGCAAAAAAAACCCCAAACCCCAAAACCCACTATTGGTTATCTCTAACACCCAGTATACATTGTTTGTACTTAGTCGTTGCCCTTCCACGTTTCCCCAGTTTCACACATTACCTGACCCGTAGTAACTTAATAACTGCTTGTTGACGGAATGCAAAGAAGTAAAGATAAAGTAAAGATCACTATGACCACAGCAATACATCTTGTATCGCAAAGCTTCTTAATCTTTGCTGGGGCTCCAGTCTAAGGGCTGGCCCTCTTCCCAAAACTAGAGTTGTTTTTTTTTTTTTTTTTTTAGTGAGGCAATCGAGGTTACTTGACTTGCCCAAGGTCACACAGCTAGTTCGTGTCAAGTGTTTGGTCTGAGTTCGGATTTGAACTCAGGTCCTCCTGACTTCAGGGCCGGTGCTCTATCCACTGCGTCACCTCGCTGCCCCAAGACTACAGTTTTTAAATGCACAAAGTGAAACGCACTGGATTACAAAGGAAATTGATTATACTGAAGGAGTTATCAAAGTAAGTATTCAAGGAACAAGTTTGCGGAGCCCAGATTAAGAACCCCGGTCAGCAGACACGCAAGGTCTACGAAAGCAGGGTCAGCATCTCCAAGCCCACACAGAGCCAGGGCAGAAAGCGGCGGGGGCAGGCGCAGGAGGCGCGGCTGCAGCCTTCCCCCGCCCTCCGCGCCGAGGCCCCGCCTTCTAGGTCCCTCCCCCAGGCCCGCCCCACCCCCGCCTCCACCCCACGCCCGGGCCTCGGCGAGGGGCCGCCCTTAGAGGGTTTCGGGAGGTTTGAGAGCTTCCTCTCCCCCAGGCAGGACAGGGCTGGGCCGGCGGATCCGCGTAGTCGAGGTTCTCTGGCTGCGGCAGTTGGGAGGCTGCGGGCCGGCGGCACGATGTGGCGGGCAGCGATGCGGTAAGGCGTCCCCCGGAGCGCCAGGGAGCTGGGCTGGCATGCGGCTCCCGGAGCTGCTCCAGGTGAGGGTGGGGGGGGGGGCCGGGCGGGGCTTCCGCTCCCTCCCCCTGCCCTCCTCTCCAGGTCCCTCCTCTTTCCTCCTAATCCCCCCCCCGCCGCATTTCCCTACTCTTCCCCCCTCCTCTCCTCTCCTCCCCAACTTCTCCCCCCATTATTGTGTCTCTCTCCCATTTTCTCCCCAATCCCCCATCTTCTCCCCCATCCTCTTCCTCACCCCGCATCCTCTTCCTCACCCCCCATCCTCTTCCTCATCCCCCGCATCCTCCTCCTCACCCCCATCCTATTCCTCTCCCTTCTCCCCCAGTCCCACCCTCCTTGCCAATGCTCCTCGTGTGCCCTCTAAGTTGCTGAAGGTGATGGGTGGGGGGCGGGGAGGAAGAGGAGGGTGCTATCGCTGGGGGCAGCCCCTGCCCAGGCCGCTTGGGAGCCGCTTTCTGCTCCTGTCATTTAGCCGGGCGGGATTGACAGACAGCTGACGTCTGATAGGCTTCCAGCAGTCTCGCAGCTCCTTTCCCGGGCGGGGTGGGGGAGCAGAGACCCCGCCCCGGGCCCAGCCGGGGACCGAGGCCGTGGCTGTTCACGCCGCGCCCTCGCCTGCCCTCGGGCTTCTGGGTGGGAGGGAGCGGCTGGCCTCCTGCCCCAAGTGTGGCCTTGTTGCTAGTTTCTGCCCCCACTAAGAAAGCTGTGGCTCGAGGCATGGGAATTTGATGATAAAACCCGGGCAGCTTTTTGAAGGGAGGGAAGAGGGCATTTCCTGGAATAGTTTTATCCTTGGGCACAGGGTGTGATTGGAAACTCTGTTGTAAGCTTTTCTCAGAAAGTAAGGATTTAGGTATATGTTGTCCAAACAAGGGGCCTCTTTGGGCTTTTGGGGACTGGCCAGGTGTCAGGCTAATTTGGGCTCGGCCTGATTCCTGGTACTGTAATCTAGTGAATGGCCCTGAAGTGCCAAGAGCAAACAGCTCATCATAATTGGAACACTTTTTATGGAGGAGTGACTCTGATGACTATTATTTGACAACTGTGGCTTTGTGTATACATGCAAGTGTGTGTGACTAAATATTTGAAAGAAGGTTTTGCCTCCTGAGATACAACTCTGTGAAAAGAGTAAAGACCGGGGCCGTTCGGGGGGGGGGGGGGGGGCAGGGGTGTCATCTCCAGTGGTTCTGATCTATATTTTGCCACTGGGTCCTGATGGCAGAGGAGGAGAAAATGAGGCTGGTGGGCACAGTCCTCTCTCATATCCATGGCATCACCTTCCTGATGCCTTGGTACTCTTTGAGAATGAAGGACAAATAACAACAAACAGTAGTCACTCACTACCTCTGTCCTCTCTATTTACATCAGTACCTCTGATTTGGGCAATTTACTTTCCTTTTCTGGGAATCAGTTTCCTCACTTATGAATGAAAGCATTGGACTAGATGAGCTATAAGATTCCTTTCAGCTCTGTGATCCTTTGAGGAGACACAAAAAGCTTCCTACCTTTCTAGTGTTTCCTTCCACACCCTGGATGATCTAGTTACACTGGCCTAGACACTCCCTCTCCCATCTATCTCCATCCCTAGGTTATCCTGTATGCCTGGAAGGCTATGTCCTCTCACTTGTTCTGTCTTCTTTCAAGACTCAACTCAAATCCCACCTTTTGCAAGGGACCTTTCCATGTCTCCTCAGCTGCTAATAGCCTTCCTCTTTTTTTTTTCAGATTACTTTACATCTGCTTTGTGTATATCTTGTATGTACATAGTTACTTTTGTTTTCTCACCCTTAGAATTAAGTTCCTCTTGACTAGAGCAATGACTTTTTTCCCCCCTTTCTTTGTTTCATTAGTTGCAATGCCTGGCGAATAGTAAACACTTAATAAATGCTTGTGGACTAACATTCTGTAGGTTACAATATTGCAATAAAAAGTTAACTTTGGGTGACAGGATGATTGAATACTCTGTTCATCACTGAAAGACTTCATTTAAATGATATTTAATTTATACCGATCTTTTAAAAGGTATCACATAATTCGAATTACCACCTCATTGACTCCATACCAATTTTCTTTAGAATTTTTGGAGGCTAAACGTGTGAGACAGTGTAGTGCGGTGGAAAGATCTCTGGTTCTGGAATAAATTAATCTGGATACAAATCCTGCTTCTGACACTTAATCCCTGTTTTAGGCAAGTCACTCAACCTTCCTGGGCCTTAGTTCCCTCATCTGTAAAAGTAAGGAAGTTAGGTTAGCTGGCGTCTGATGTCCCTTTCAGCTCTAGGTTTATAACCATATGAGATTCTGTGGTGTGTATTTCCATCATTTTCTGAATAATTCAGGCAAAAGTTGTTTTATTACAGAAATATACACATGTATATAGTACTTTCGGCTTAAAAAGGATTTTTCCTCACAACAACCACAAAGTGTTATTTTTATCCCCGTTTTACAAAATCAGAAAACAAGCTCAAATAGTTTGAGCGATTTGTCCATGTTTAGACAGCTGTTAAGTAATCCAGTTTCGGATTAGAACCTATATAGCCTTACTCTAAATTCACCATTCTTTATGTTCTACCAAAATGCTGTAGTGTCTGATTTGTCTGTACTAAAGACATGGCAGATTTTTAGGGATAAGAAAAGTCTTTAGAAGTTTTCTAATTCCCTTGTTTTACAGAAGAGGAAATTAAGGCCGAGTGATTTGCTCAAAGTCACATAACTAGTTAATGTCAGAGCCAGTACTTGAACCCAGGTCTCTGACAAAATCCATCTCTTTTCCCCCTATACTATGGTAATAACATATGGTGGAAAGTAATATAATATCCTTTCTTAACTGTTGTTAATAAATAGTATCTTCCCTAACATGCTATTCTGATGACTCATATTGTCATAGAGAGGATCCTGGATTTTCATAGGATTTAGAGCTAGAAGGAGAAGAACCCCAGTATTTTACATGAGGAAAATGAGGCCCAGGATGGTGTGTGATTTTTTTTCTCTCTCAAGGTCATCCAGGTAGTCCTATACTACCTGAGCTTTAAGGAGCTTATACCAAGCTGGAAAGGCTGTGACATTCTACCTCTCTTAGCCATAGACCAAGCAAACCAAATTCAGAGAGGTTTTTCACCAGAATGTTGGCCACCAGGTGGTGAATTTCTTTGGTTAAATTAATTCCTGTAGCCTATCTGCTAAGACATAGTGGGATTGTATGATGTGTATTGGTGGTGATATGGTACACATGTTGGTAAAAATTACAGATCTTTATAATAGCAAGTAACAGTTTTACTTAGTCTAAAAGTTAATTATTTATTGAGAGTGCTGGGAATCTTTCTGAAACTGTGTTGACTTTTTATGGGGGGGCAACTATCACACCATTTAATAAATTATTCCTTGGCTTAATTCTTTTGACTTGAAAGAGGCAGTATAGTAGGAAACACCCCTCCCCCTCCTGCAATGGATTTGAAGTCAGAAAACCTGGCTTCAAATTCTGGTTCTGCTATACTGCAGGTGTATGACCCTAGGTAAGTCACTTAACCAGCCTCACTGGGACTCTGCATCCTTCCTTACCTTCCAGACCTCTCAATCCATGATCTTTGACTTCATGCTTTCAGATGTGCCTTTCTTTTTTTTCCTTTTTAAAAAATTTAGTTTTCAACATTCACTTTTATAGGATTTTGAGTTCCAAATCCCTCCCCTCCCTTCCCTTCCCCCCCCACAGCATGCAATCTGATATAGGCTATACATGTACAGTCATATTAAACATACTTCCACATTAGTTATGTTGTGAAAGAAGAATCAGAACAAAAGGGAAAAACCACGAGAAAGAGAAAACAACAACCAAAAGAAAATAGTATGATTCCATTTGCATTTAGACTCCATAGGTTCTTCTCTAGATGTGGATAACATTTTCCATTGTGAGTCTTTTGGAATTGTACTAGATCATTGTATTGCTGAGAAGATCTAAGTCTATCAAAGTTGATCCTCACCCAACGTAGCTGTTACTGTGTACAATGTTCTCCTGGTTCTGCTCACTTCACTCAGCATCAGATGTGCCTTTTGAGGGAGTGGCTTTTTTACTGGGAAGATATGGTCCAATAATAAAGAAAAATTAGCTTATCTACTAAGACCATCTCATCTAATGTGATCTAAACTTTACCAGATAGATTTAGTACTCATGGAACTGAGAAACTGGAGAGGGCAAGACCAAATATACAACCATTTATATGATAGGTCACAATTATCATTCATTCAACAAACATAGTAGTGCTAATTGTGGAAGATATAGCTTCTACCTTGTTTAGGATCAGGGTTCCTAACCTGAGGTTCGTGAACTAGCTCTTTAAAAAAAGTTTTGATAATTGTATTTCAGTGTAATTGATTTCTTTTGTAATCCTTTGGGGCAGCTAGGTGGCTAAGTGGATAATAAATGTCTGGTCTGAAGTCAGGAAAATACATCTTCCTGAGTTCAAATCCGGTCTCAGACACTTCCTAGCTGTGTGACCCTGGGCAAGTCATTTAATCCTGTTTGCCTTAGTTCCTCATCTGTAAATGAGCTGGAGAAGGAAATGGCAAACCACATCAGTATCTTTGCCAAGAAAACCCCAGATGGGGTCACAAAAAATCAGACATGCCTGAAAAACAACTGAACAACTTGTAATCCTATAGATTTTATTTTGTACATTTAGAAACATCATCCTGAGAAGGGGTCCACAGGTTTCACCAAATTGCCAAAAGGGTTTATGACATACAAAATATTAAGAGTTCAAACTTTGGGAACATATGGTCTAGCTAGGGAGGTGAGACAACAACAGAACAATACAAGATGCTGTCTAATTAGTGTGATGCAGAGGAGTACTGGAATAGAAAGAAAAGATTCTTGTTTAGTAGTGGGGAAAGGGCTTCCCTGCATTTTAAGCTTAATTCTGAATTCAGTTTATTTTCACCTGCAGATTTTGTGCATTAAACAAGGGACGGCCAATTCTTTGCAGGGCACCCGACCAAGAGACATTTAATAATAGAACCAAGGGAACCCTCAATATGGAAGGAGGTGAGTGGTGCTAGATGGACCTTTGGTGATGATGTGCCTAAAATGCCACTTCTACCTCCAATATGCCTCAATTATCTGAGTTAGAATTCTGTTGTACATTGCTTGGCTTATCAAACATTTGTGTGAGCACGTTAAAGACATTTTTGGTCAGTAAGAATTTACTAACTGCCTACTGTACGCCAGGCATAAACTACTAGTGGCTTGACCTCCATAGACTAGTAGCTGCCCTGAGGGAAAGCATTCATTTGAGGAATGCTGTCATTCAGGCTCTTTGGAGTACTTTACTTGAGTGACATCCACCTCCCATGTTCTCCTGTTAGATGTGTGGGAACTGAAGGGGAAGCCTTGAAGAAAAGATACAGACTTGTGGCTAAGAGGCTGATCCTTCAGCTGTCTCAACTAAATGGCACCAGTAGAATGCTAAGCAGTGGTAGAATTAACATATAGTTGATCAAACTATTTCAAAGCATCTTCCAATTATGGTTTGACTTTACCTGCACAGGTTTGTTCATTATAGTTTAAAGTATGGTCTCTGAGATGGACTAAGTTGGTAGATTTTAAGATGGAAATACATAAAAGATGTCCCAAAAGTCTTAGTGCAATTTTAAGGTATTAAAGGAAAACTATTATAAAGCCATTTAAGCTATTTAAAAGAACAAAACAAAACTTAAAACTGCACTAAGACTTTTTGGGATACCTCATATATGGAAATTAAAGTATATTATCTGTGTGTATTTATATATATGTATTTATGCATTATATTATATGTATGCATGTAGCTAGGTGGCACTGGATTTGAGAAAACTCATCTTCCTGAGTTTAAATCTGGCCTCAGACACTGACTAGCTGTGTGACCCTGGGCAAGTCACTTAACCCTGTTTGTCTCAGTTTCCTCATCTGTAAAATGAGCTGGAGAAAGAAATGGCAAATCTTTACCAAGAAAACCCCAGGTGGGGTCACAAAGAGTCTGACATGACTGAGATGGCTGAACAACTATAAATATATGTGTATGTGTGTGTATACACAACATACACACATAGAGCTCGATATTTTTTAAACCAACTTTGTTCACTCAGTAACATCTTAGTAGTGAACATTTGTTGTCACTTTGCTTCCTTACTTGTGGGCCTGTGGTATAATAGATCAAAATGTGCTGTGGTGCAATGTGGAAAGAGCATTGGACCTTGGTTCAAGTTCTGACTATATCATTTATGTTCTGAGGCAACTCACTTAATTTCTACCTGACTCACTTTAATAATCTATCCATTGAGATAATCACCTTGTACTTTTGGGAGGAAGTGTTTTGTAAGCAGTAAAGTACAATATGAATGCTTGTTATTGTCATCATTATTATTATTTCATGCTTATATTATAGTTGTTATTTAATTGTAGCCTACCTTTCTGGGTTTTTGTCTTTTCACGTGTTTCTCTTAGTTATTAGGATTAATTAGACTAATTTTTAGCTGTTATTATAGTTTGAAATCCTTATGACATTAATTGGTGGTACCCCCTGAAATGTCCATGAAGTCTTTGGGTGGAATAATCATCTATGCTTTGCACAAAAGTGAAAATTCATGTTAATCCAGGCACAACTGTCTTCAACCAAATTAAACTGAGGGAGCAAGGATTTTGCTTTCATTCTAGTTCACAGTACTGACATATAAAGTGTGAAATACCATTAGAAAGATAAATGACAAATCAACCCCTTATTTGGAATTGTGTAATTTGATTATCTAACATACTTTTCCTCCATTCTTATAGCAGGCCCACCTGTTCCTATGACTGATGGTATGTGATAATCTGTGTGAATATTTTTTTTTAACTTTCAGTTTTTAGCATTAATATTCTCTTGCTTTTTGTGATGGAGGTGGTGGTGGGGGATACTGAAATAAAATAATTTTTTAAAAATTACCTTGCCTTGCTTGAATTCTTTGGCTTTCTTGCTTAAACTTGTTCAGCAACTGAGGGAGAAGTACACTAAAGCCTTGTTGCAAATCAGCTTGTTATTATACAGATTGGGATATTTTTGTGGATCAAATGATATTCTCTAAAACAGAACTTTTAATCTAATCCTTCAAGGATCCATGATTTCGCTGGGGTGTGTACTACCTTCACCAACACAAATTACAACCATTCAGTAGCTTCATGGATAGCCTTCATGAACTGATATGACTGAAGAATACATTAACCTTTAGAAACCCTGGTAATGAAGCCTCTCTGAACTTAGCTAGACTGGAACTTAAATTAAAAAAAAAAAAGAATTAAACTGCTGCTGGGAATGCATTTGAAGCCTTTCTAGGTTGGCAGGACCTGCTAGAACAGGTATGACAGGCTTCAAGAATCCAGGGTGAGGTTTATGCCACACAGGGGCCCTGGAGGTGAACTTGAAAGTTGGAAGATAGATAATTTTGCCTTTGCTATAATTTTGCCTTTGCAATAGGTGTTAGTGCTGTCCATAGTGTCCTATTGTAAGGGTTCCCATCATGCAAAGGTATACTAGATGAATAATCTAAATTGAACTATTATAATTGTATTATTATTAGAGGTAGCTAGGTTGTGAAGTAGATGGAGCACTGGACCTGGAGTCAGGAACACTTCAGTTAAAATCTGTTCCTAGATACTTATTAGATGTGTGATCTTGGGTAAGTCACTTCATGTCTGTTTGCCTCAGTTTTCCTATCTCTAAAATGGGGTTTAAAAAAACCTACCTCCCAGGGTTGTCGTGAATATCAAATGAGACAATGTTTCTAAAGTGCTTACGACAGTGCCTGGTAGGCCCAATATAAATGTTAGCTATTATCATCGTCATAATTATTATTAATGCAGTGGATAGAGCACTGGGCTTGGAGTCAGGAAGACCTAGATTCAGATCTGACCTCAGACTCTTCTCAGCTATATGACCTTGAACAAATCACTTAACCTTTCTCCTAAGTTTTCTCATCTATAAAATGGGGATAATAATAGCACCTGACTTGCAAGAGTGCTGTGAAGATCAAATGAAATAGTATTTGTAAAGTGCTTAGCATACAGTAGATGCTGCATAAATGCTTATTTCCCTTCCCTATTCTGCTCTGTTATATTTTTTATATAAGGCCTAATGATTAACACACACATTCTTTTGGGTATTTTAGTTGTTGGGGGGTTTTGAAGATTCTAGACTCATTGTTTGACTTTAAATGGTAGCCTTAAAGTTAATCTTATTTCTTATTAATTTGGATATCTGTCTTTACCATCTGCTAAGTGCCTGAGTCTTTTTGCATGGAGCTTGAGCTTAATAGCTTAATCCTTTCATATTTTCCTAATTTACTTTTGTAAGTTTCACCAGCTGGTCTTTATTTCTTTCAGTCCGGCATAAACTTCGGGAGATAATAGGAATATCCAAACACTGGAGGTATGTTCGTGATTACTGATGCCTTGCTTGGTTGGGTTCCTGGTAGCATCAATGAACCTTGTACAAAGAGGAGAAGGAGGGTGTTTGTGGCTCTTTTGTTCTAGGAAGAGATAGTGGGTTCAGGAGAGGCAGCATGCAGTGCTGTGGAAAGTGTGTTGTGATGAGAGTCAGGAGAGGCCTACACTGAAATCTCATTTCTGAGATATTCTTACTGTGTTGGTCAGTCATCAAGCATTCATTAAGTATTTACAATGTGCCAGGCCTGGTGCTGAGCACTGGGATTACAAAGAAAGGGAAAACGTAGCTCAGGGAACTCACATTTTGATGGGGGGACACAACATGCAAATAGTTACGTATGTGTAAGTTATATATTGTGTTAAGGGAGAGGTAATCTCTGAGGGCAGGTGCTAGGAAGGGAAAGGCTTTCTGCAGAACAGAGGCTTTGAGCTGATTCTTAAAGGTAAGCCAGAGAAACACAGAGGTGGAGGTGAAGAAGGTGAGCATTCCAGGCATAGGGGACAGGCAGTGAAAAGATGGGAAATCGAGTGTTGTGTTTGAGGAACAGCCAGAAGGCTGTGTCACTGGATCACAGACGGGAGTAAAATGTAAAAAGACTGGAAATGTAGGAAGGGACCATGTTGTAAAAGGTCTTAAATCCCCAATGCAATATTTTGTATTTGATCTTAGATATGAAAGCAAATCACTGGAATTTATTGAATAGGAGGGGAATAATAGCAACCAATTAATTAATCAATAAACATTTATTAAGCATCTCTATTGAGGCAGCTGGGTGGCTCAGTGGATAGAGCCCTGCGCCTGGAGTCAGGAAGACCCGAGTTCAAAACCAGCCTCAAGACACTTAATAGCTATGTGGCCCTGGGCAAGTCACTTGGTTCACTTTGTTTGCCTTAGTCTACCAAAGAAGGAAATGGTAAACTACTCCAGAATCTTTGCCAAGAAAACTTCATGGACAGCGTTGATATGCTGGGGTCCATGGGGTCAAGAAGAGTCGGACATGACTGAACAACAACATGATCCTAAAGCCCAGGGCTTACAAAGAAAAGCAAAGAACAGTTCCTGTCCTTAAGGCGCTTACAATCTAGTGGGAGAGACAAGATGCAAACAACTATTTACAAAGCAAGCTATATTCAAGATAAATAGATAATTAACAGAGGGAAGGCCTTGAAATTAAGAGGGGTTGGGAAGGCTTTTGGTAGCAGAATGGAGGATGGCCTGGAGTGAGAAGACTCCCCGGAGTGAGGCAGGGAGGCCAACCAGAAGGTGACTATTGACAGTCATGCAGAGATGTTTCTCTGTAAAATGAGAATGATAATACCTGTAATATTATTATCAAAGAGTCTGACATTGGAGTCAGGAAGGCCCAGATTTAAGTTCTATCTCTGACACAAACTAGCATGTGGCAAACTATCAAGTGTCTTTGACTCTCAGTGCCCCAGACAAGATTATGAGTTACTGATATGCATTAGTGGAGAGAGTTTCCATACCACGAGTTCCCTGTGTGTGTGACATCAGATCAGGACTAAAAAAGGTACTGCTACCATTTATATGACAAGGTTGTGGCAAGACTGTAAACTGTGGCACAATGGAAAGAACACTGGAGGACCTGACCTCTTACTACCTGTGTGACCCTGGAAGAATTCTTTAGACCTGCTGTCAGCTTACTTGTCAAATGAAGGGGTTGAGCCAGATGACCTCTGAGGTTCCTTCCAGCTTCAGTTTTATGATTCTGTGTAAATCTTAAAGTGCTATGTAAACGCTATGTTCTTACCGGGAAACTGACTCCTTACATACACACACTCATCGATAATTAACCCTCTTCACTTGTTAATTCACATTCCAGGTGATCTCTTTTTGTGACCTTGCCCTCTCATTGATCTGTTTTCTTACCTGTAAAATGAATATCATTATACTTGCCCTTCTTCACTTTGAGGCTAACGTGAGAAAATACTCTGCGTTTCCTTATCTATAAAATGGAGCTAATACCATCTGCCCTACAAGGTTGTTGTGAGGATCAAATTAATTAACATGTAAAGCACTTTGCAGACCATAAAGTGCAATGTAAACGGTAGCTGCTATTATTATTATTGTTCTGATGGTGATCTATATACGTGACCACCGGGAAAGTCAATCAACCTTTCTGACCCTGTTTTCTGACCTGTAAAATGGGAATAATAATCCTTTCATTTCTTTCTTTATGGGTGAGAGGTGAGAAACTGTGAGTAAAGCACTTTGTAAACCTTAATGTGCTCTATATATGTCAGATATTATTCATGGCTAAAGTGTCTAGTTATCCCATTTGTATGAAACTCTTTCTCTTATTTCCCTTTTTTTAATAAAAAGTACTTTTAAGATATTTTAGGGTACTTTAAGGTAAAGTATTAACTTTAAACTTTTGCTTCAAAGTACTTTTAACTAATTGTCTTAGGACCTTTTCCTAGAGTGGCTCTATTTTTTTCCTGATAGGGTGGGGTGGTGGGGGGCTGGTGGAGGAGGGAAGATTGGGAAAGGAGGGGTCCCAGAAACAGGGCACCTTAGTACAGAGGATGAGGGGGAACCTGGTTTGCAAGGGTGTGTTGACAATAGTCCTGATTCTATATAATGGGCATCTTGCTTCTTTCTTCCCAGTGACCATGTGAAAGTTATGGAGGAGAGAAAGTTACTTCATGGTCTGTTGCCTAAGAGCCAGAAGGAGCTGCCTTCAAGGAGGATGAAAGACAGTTATATTGAAGTCATTTTGCCTTTAGGAACTCAGCCTGTATTACGGGAGAAATATTTGAACACATACAATTGTGTAAGGTAACAGGGTTGGTTTTTTTCTGTGGTTTGAATTTTAAAAGGAAATTAATGCACTGTGGTTTCCACTTGTTAAATCCTACTTTCCTTTATTTCACAGATTTGGCAGAATTCTTGAGGATCTTGACAGCTTAGGAGGTACTAAAGCATGCCAACATTTCTGTGTACAATTGTGATTTATCACTGTTTGCCTAGAATCAGGGAACCCTGTGGTTAAAGGAACCATCAGAAGTTATGTAATCATTTCCCTTCCTTCATGTGATCCAGCCTGTATACATGACTATACAGGGTGAGGAGAGACTTGAGGCAAGGAGACCATCGATGAGTTGACCACCCACTGTATTAAAAAGTTTGTTCTTAAACATTACTCCCTACTTTAGATTTCCACTGTTCACCCTTAAATTCCTCAAGTATTTATTAAATTTGGGTACAGTATTGTGCTAAGTCCTGAGAGGAATAGAGTAAATAAGATACATTCCTTAGTTTCAAGAAGCTTAGGGTCTATTCCTAATATGTGGGAATAGTTCCAAAAGCTGCTGTTATTATTATTATTAGTAGTAATAATTATAATAAAATTAAATTATTATTTGAAGCTATTGAGGCTTAAAACTGCATTAAGATTTGGAAGGGACACCCTTGAGAATTTAAAAACCATTTTTGATGTAACCCAGGCTTCCTTTCTTTAAACCAAACAAGCCAGTTTCTTTTTAGTCTTTCTTTGTTGGCATTACAGTCCTGATACGTCTGACTTTTATCAGTCTGACTTTTATCAAAGGTCTAGAATTTAGTATCTCAGCAGTTTTATTTAAGTTAATTGAGTTCTTTGAAACCAGTAATTTGTGTTTTATATATTTTATTTTAAAAATGCCATTTGTTGTGCTTTGGAAAAATTCTGTAAGATGAACATGCTGGGCTAATGAGGCTTTATCAGCTGTCTGCAAATTAGTAGATTTTGCCTGTATTGATGCTTCTGTTTTTAAACCAAACATTTCTTGAATTAAAATCTGCTTGTCTTTGTTAGAGGCTCTTAGCATGCAAAAACAGTATTTGAGCCTTACAAAGTAATACTTTGTGCTTATGCCTACCCTTTTGTTGCCAAGGCTGATTTAAACACATATATGTTGTAGTACCATCAGATGTTGGTAAAAACTTCTTAGGAGGACGTTGGCAGTGGAATAAATCAACCAGTTTGTTAAGGTGAAAATAGAATATTAACAGAGTCTAGCAAGTAATTAATCAGCAGTTGTGATTATATACAGACTGAAGCGTTGGATGGGAACTAAGCACCTCTGTTTAATATTTTTCGTAGAGGAGGTGCTTGATAAATGTCTGCTGAATGAACTAAGAATGAAATGCTAAAAGAACAAAGAGAGGTATTAGAAGAGCTAACATTGGATAGCACTACAAAATCAAAGCATGTGCATCATTCACATGAAACACTAAAGAAAAGTTGAAAAAGATGCAAACTTTGAGGTCATTTTTCATAAAGTCATGAATCAGAGTTGAGAGGCATCTGAGAAGTTACCCGATCCAAACCGTACCTAACAATATCTCTTACAAGTGGTCTTGAAGCTTCCATTGGAAGATACTCTACTCCCTTCAAGTTCTAAATTGAATGAACAATGCCAAACAAAGTCATTTGTTGTTTCACTAGAGCCCTTCATCTAGAATGATATTAATCCATTAGTCACTTCTGAGTCTCATGCTTCAACCAGTTTGAAGTCTACCAAATTATTCTCATTGGTGACTCTTAGCAATCCTGTGGCGCCTCTCCCATTTTTCATAATTTTTTAGATTTTACTGACAGTGATCTACCTGTCTTATCAGCAAGTTCTTTAACTTTGATGCAGTTTGTCTGGGACTAAGAACTTTATTGAAGGTAATTCTCTTCCCACTTTCTCACTTTCTCATTTCCCTGTTGGCAGTTTTTGTTCTGTTTTTTCAACTGAAGGTCATTCTTTTGGGTAGAAAAAACAAAAGTAAAACAAAATAAAGTAGTTCTATTTTCCCTTAGTTTTCTGCTATTATCTGATTCACTCCCAATAGTGATCTGAGCTTTTCTTTAATTTGACTTAATTATGCAAACATTTATTAATCTTAATCTCAATTAATTTTCATTTTAGTGCTTTCCTTCTGAGACTCCCCAATTTATCCTGTATATGTATTGTCTGTACATAGTTGTTTGCATGTAGTCTTTATCATTATATTGTGAGCCTCTTGAGAGCAAGGACTGTTTTTTGCCTTTCTTTATATACCTAGAATTTAGCACAATCCCTGGCACATAGTTGACTGACTGACTTATTGATCATTGTGTTAGAAACTGAGGATACAGTAACAAAAATGAAAAACAGGCTGTAACTGCAAGGTGCTTGCTTATATTCTGCTAGGGCATAAAACATGTGCATATGTATCTATAATTATGTATAGATATAGATACATAGATATGTCTCTACATAGACTATATATGTATCAAAACATCAATACACATGTGTCTACGCACATACATATGCATACATATGTATACATATACATATATACACACATACACACACACACACATATAAAATTAGTTGAGGAAGGAGAAAATGCTAGTAGTCGGAATGGGAATCACTCTGATAGTCGCTGATCTGAGCTTTACAGGAAGCTAAGAATTATAAGAGGTTAGTTCTTTTCCTCTGATACAATTTGACAAAGTATATTCCACATATGGGAAACAGCCTGTGCAAATGCAGATAAATGGGGGATAGAACAGCAACTAGGCTATGTCCAGAACGTAGAACGTGAAGAAGATTGATGTGAACTATCTGGAAAGGTCACTCAGAGCCACATGGTAGGGGGCTTTAAATGTCAGCCCAAGTAGCTTGTGTTTTATCCTGCAGGTGATAGGGAATCAGTGAAGATATTTGACCAGAGGAGTGAAATGGTTAGACTTATACTTTGGGAAGATTATTTTGGCAACTATTTGGGAGGCAGATTAGAGATAGGGAGGATTGGAAACAGGGAGATTCAGTAAGAGACTATTGGGATAATCTAGGCGAGAGGTGATAAGGGTTTGAAGCAAAGTTGGTGGCTGTGAGTAGAGAGGAGAGGACAGAGGAAAGAGATGTTAATAGAAGTAGAGCTGGAAAATCTTGGCAGCTAATTGGATGTAGGAGATGAGGGAGAGACAAAAGAGTCAAAGATGAAGCTGAGGTTGTAAACCTGACTTAGTGACTGGTAGTGTCCTCAGTATTTTTCTTTTACCTTGGTCCTTTCTCAAAAGCTTCAGCTCATTTTGTACTTTGATGTTCCTGACATTCTTTTTTTTTTTTGTCCTTGACATTCTAAGAGAATGTTTTTGTATTCATCCTCAGTTTTGCCCTCATGTGAATTTTTGTATGTCTTTAAAAAATCTGAGTTGATAGTTGAGTTCACTGTGTGTCCTTGCCACATCTTCCTTTCTCTTCTAAAGTCTTTATGTTCTTTTGTCAGCATTGGTGCAAATATTCCCTCTGTTCCAGAGGTCTTGATTTTCTTTTCTAGAATATCATAAGTCTTAGAGCAGTTTTCTAGATTCCTTCCAGGAGTCTTGTTCATCCTCAGACGAATAGCCAGAAGTGAGTTGTCACTGTCAGGTTTGATGGGTCTTGGAGGTTCTTGGTCCCCACATATGTTCCCTCCCAAATGTTTGTATCTGGTATTTATTTAAGTGCATGATGTTTGGTAAATGAAGATAAGACAAAAAAAAACAGGCCCTGCCCACAAAGGACATGCAGTGCTACTGTTGACATCCTATATTCAACAGACAAAATTGGAAACCAAGTCAGAGGGGGCCAATGAAAGATTTGGAGATAGTAATCATAGATAACATGCAAGCATATTTACTGGCCTTAGTTGTGAATGGCCGGAAAGAAAATAGTTGCTTAAAAGTCAGGGCTTTTTGTTTGTTTGATTTTTAGAAAGTGGAAGGTCTGTTCCTGCTTAAAAGGAAGATGAGAATCAGAAGATTTAAGCTATGGGTTATAGTGGCAGGGGGTTCCCCAAGTGAGTGGGATAAAGTATTATTGTACCAGGGTGAGAGGGCCTAGGGTGGGGAAGATAGTCATAAGGATTTGTGTCTTAGAGAACAAGAGACAGATCTGGATTAGGGAATTGCTTCATGGGCCAGTACCAGAGAACAAGGAGCAAAAGAGGTACCTCACTTTGAAAATTTCAGCTCCTTTAATTTTCAGAACTTTATAAAATAACAGCAACATAATAGGTTGGAAAGAAGATTGAACTGGAAACTATGAGTCTATGGTTCAAGGATTTTGCCATTACCTAATATGTGACTGTGGACAAGGCCCTTCCCCTTTCTGAGCCTTTCTTTCCTTATCACTAAAACAAGATAGTTGAACCAACCTTCTCTTTCAGTCAAAACAGCGTATAATTCTAACGTGAGATCAGCACTTTCCATAAAGTGGTGGGAGATGAGGGCCCAGAACTTCACAAGGTGTTATCTAGTGTTTATATGTTTTGAGTAAGGGAGCTGAATATTGAGAAATACTTTTACTCTTCCTGTCACTGACAAACTCTCTCATTTCTCCTTAGTTCTTATTTGCTATACTCACACCAAAATAGATTCTGGCAAGATGTCACCTTTCTCTATCGTGACAGCCTTGGTTGACAAAATTGGTAAGTGATGTCATCAGTCTGTGCTTCAATTGAATTCAATTCAATTTCAGTATTATTGAAATATTCAATAGGTGTTGCTTTATTTCAGCAAAAATAATTTCCTTTCATATGGAATTTTATTATATTTCAATTTATTTCTTCCCAACTTATTAATAGACCCCTTTCAAGATAGGATTATCTCTTCATGTGTGGCTTTTTGGAATTGACTTCAAATTTCATTGTGTCAGTTTTCTAGAAGTTAGCACCTCAGTCTGTCTTTCTGGAGCCACCTGGCCTAGATCTGGTACCAAGGTGAGATCGGGTAAAGAGAGCAATAGCAAAGCAAAGCTTCTCTAGTTGTCTTCTTCATCAGTTAGTTGCCTGAGTTATATAGAAACTCTCCTAAGTGATATATTTTTTAAAAAAGAAACTTTTTATGAGAAACCTGAGCATAAAAAAGCATTAGGTTTGGAAGACTTTAGAGGTCATCTAGTTCAATCTCTTTCTCCATACAGGAATCTCTGCTATAGTGTCCATGGTGCTTGGTAAATGAAGATAACACCAAACACCAAATGCCAAACCACCTAATTTGTGCTTGCACATACTCATTGAAGGCAGGCTTACTATCTAACGAGGTAATTCACTCCATTTGTACATAGCAGGTAGCTAGGTGGCACAGTGGATAGAGTGCTGGACCTGGATTCAGGAAGACCTGCGTTTAAATCCTGCCAGACACTTACTAGATATGTGACCCTGGGCAAGTCACTTAACCTCTGTCTGCCTCAGTTTCCTCATCAGTAAAATGGGGATAATAATAGTACCTATCTTTCAGGGTTGTTGGGAGGATAAAATGAGATAATATTTGTAAAGCACTTTGCAAACCTTAAGGCATGATGTAAATGCTAGCTATTATTATTCATATTATTGTTTGTTTTAAAAAAAAAAAAAGATTTTCCTTAGACAGCTTGGTGTAGTGGAAAGAACTCTGGACTTGGAATCAGGAAACCCAGATTCAAATCATGGCTCTGACACTTATTAGCTGCAGACTTTGGGCAAGTCACATCATTTCTCTTAATTCCTCATCTGTAATAATTCTTGCACTATCCCCCTCTTAGGGCTGTTAGGATGAAAGCAGTCTGTAAATCAGAAGGCATTCTGTGAGTTGTTATAGATTCCTTTTATGCTATGATGGATCAGTGATTTCATAGGAACTTAACTGGGCCAGATTGTAAAACCATTCCGTGCCTTCTCATCTTGGATGACTCTTATCCGTGTCATAACATAGTAATATATCATTATACTGAGTCAAATGCTGTCTCTCACTGGTGTATAATATTCCCTATAAAATATTTAGAGCTCTTAAAGAAATAGGCCTCTCACATAAATGAGGGCAATTAACTTAAATTGAAACCAAATATGAACTAGGAGAAGTAGAAGTGGGCTCTTTTAAACACATATGCCTCTGCATTTTTCTGCCCAATAGAGTAGGGATTCCTAAACTGGGGTAGATTTCAGGGAAATCCATGAATTAGGGAAAAAAGTGATATCTTTATTTTTCTAGTCTTTGGTTTCATAATCCCATGTATTTTATTTTGTGCATCTAAAAACATCAGTTTGAGAAGGGGTCCTTAAAGGAATTTCATTGAGGGGTCCCATGAAAAAAAGGTTAAGAACTCCTGCTCTAGAGAGTTACAAGGGGAAAGCAGTAGAGGAAGCCTTATTGCTAGGAAAAAGACTTATCCTTCCTAGTTCCTATACTGAATGTGTAATGTACTTTTTTTTGGAGACATTGCCCAGGCTCCTTTCTCCTCCAAGGATAATCCAGATAGGAGGACAGCTATATAGCCTCTATTCAATTCACTTTGTAACAAGTATTTGTTAAGCACTATTAGATCTAAATTTAACGGCTTTACTTCCTTCTTCACCTTATTCCCTAAACGTTCTATCTAGCAATCCAACTTCAGAATAGGGAAAAGGGGGCTGGGACCTATTCAGTCAAGTTTCTCTGTGTATTTTTTCAGACTTATGTAAGAAGGTCATAAGTCCAGAAAATGATATTAAGTTCATTGGACATGTGAGTTGGGTCGGAAGGACATCTATGGAAGTCAAGATGCATGTGTGTCAGGTGAGTGAGTAGCTCCTTTGTTTCTGAATGCCTGGTTTAGGTGAATCTGGTAAAAAGAGGGGGAGGGGTGGACTAAATGACCTCTGAGGTTGTTTCCAGCTTCAGCTCTGTGAACCTATGATCCTATATTTGCTCCTTGACCTTTATGAGAAGCCATTTAGTTCCTCTTAAAGGAATAAGCTGCATCCTTCATCAGATCTGCCATCTTGCTAGAAGCTTGCTAGTTGGTGACAGGAGAGAATAAGTGAGGACAAAAATTATTCTCAGCAGGGCAGCTAGGTGGAGCAGTGGATAGAGCTCCTGTCTTGGAGTCAGGAGGACCTGAGTTTAAATTTGGCCTCAGACGCTTGACACTTACTAGCTGTGTGACCCTAGGCAAGTCACTTAACCCTAGTTGCCTCACCAAAAAAAAGTAAAAACAAACAAACAAAAAATTATTCTCACCCTTACTAGAAAAAACAGTTAAAAATATATTGTTGGTACAGCAATAACATCCTCTTTACATATATCGGAGCCCACATTGTTTAGTGCCTTTTCACTCTTTTGAAATCACAGACAACACCTTCTTGTTAAAGCGCTTTTCTAGTTTTGCTTGAAGAATTACACAAAATTGAAATAAATTAAGAATAAATAGAAATAGCCATGAGTACAGTAATAAATACAGTTGACATGTGTATAGTATGTTAAGGTTGATAAAAGGCTTTACGTCTGCTATTTCATTTAATCCTGATATAGCCATCAGTCTTACCTCTCCAACTTCATTTGACCCTAAATGTGAATACCAGTATGATAGAGTGGAAAGAGTATTGAACTTGGAGTCAGAATATAGATGTTTGAAGCCCAGCTCAGGCAGACTTGTTTTTTAGGCTGTATCACATGCACATTATTACCCACTATCTTCCTTTTAAGATTTAAAAAAATTGTGTTCTTTTTAAAATTGGTGTTGCTCTGGTCTACTGTATCTCTCTACTTGGCAAAGTGCACAAGCATTTGGTGACTGATGTGGATTCTTAGGCTTTTTTAGTTTCTTCATTTTGGCAATTTAGCAGTTTTTATGTAGTGCCTTTTGGTTTACAAAGCACTGTGAATATGTTATCTTTTTAAATACAATTGATTTACATAAATTAAACTTCCTTAGGAGCTGGTAAAGGAGCATAAGATCATAGATTTAGAGTTGGAAGGGACTTCTGAAGCCATTGGGTCCAAATCTCTTATTTTATAGATGAAGAAATTTAGGCCTAGAAAGGTTAAGTGAGTTGTCTAGGTCGTGTAGCTAATAAGTATCTGAGGCAGATTTTGAATTTGGGTCTTCTTGACTCCAAGTCCAGCATTTTATCCATTGTATCACCTAGCTGGTGGTAGTTTATGTCAGTATCTATTCTTTTATCTTTTCCATATTCCATTGTTACCAGCTTGTTTAGATACGTTTCAATAAAGACAGAAAAAGACTCAACTTCATAAGGTTTATCTGGCCATGGGCCTGTGGGAGTTTATTGGTAAGATTAATTTAACATTTGTGAAAAAATTTGGAGCATTGTATGTGAGAGGGTATTTTTGTGTTGTGTTTTTTTTTTTTTTTTTGGATGGAACTTGTGATTTTGCTGGTATAGAGAATTTCTTGTGAGGAAACTCTGTCCACTGATGCATTTTAATACCTGGTGTGTAATTTATAATTTCAGAGAGTTGCCTGGTTCACTGAAAGGTTAAAGGACTTGCTAGGATCCCTTAGCCAGTTTGTGCCAGAGGCAGGACTTGAATTCAGGTCTTTCTGACTCTAGGGCTCTCCACCCACTATTTCCTGTTCTCTGCCAGCACGTCAGCGTCAGATGACTGAATAAGGATGATGTAGATGTTCATAGTTATTTTCACGTGATTATTTCTTAATGCCATAGTACTAGTTTAGAATTGTGGTGTTATTTATAGTCAATATCTGTTCTACCTGAACTCTTTCCTTTTTTATTTTAGTTATATGATACAGTTTACCATCCTGTGTTGGATGCAACATTTGTAATGGTGGCTCGAGATCCTGAAAACAAAGGGTAATTATTGATCTAGAACTCTGGAACTGTGCAATATGTCCCGTGTTTTTTATTTTTATTCCACATTCTAAATTGAATTGCCAAGTTAATTGACTTAGTTATTTCTAGTGGAATTAACTAAGTTAATTTATTTGGTTAAGAAAAAGCTAGATTCTATAATCTCCTTACTTATACACTGTTCCTGCTCCTTCCCCCTTAAATTCACTTTAAACATATTTTGGCTGTTTGCAAATTTACATTTGAGAATATTTGTTACCACTATTTCGTTCACAGCAGTAGAGTGAACCACAAATAAAATTTGAGTTCTATCTTGACATCCTTTAGGTGTGTACTAGCTTTGAACAAAATCAGTTAAATTCTTAAAATAAAATTACTGTTGAATGGACAAATAAATACCAAATACCATGTGGCTAAGTTAAAGCAGAAACCTCACTTTATCCAACTAATGTACATGGTCTAGGACAATTAATCCATATATTTTCAAGAATGTGTGCTACCTATACCAGACTTTTAAAGCATGTCATATTTGATTGAAAGGCAGTGTGGTCTAGTATAGCAATTCTCAAACTTTTTGGTCTCAGGTCTCCTTTACAAGACTTGAAAATTGTTAAAGATCCCAAAGATGTTTTTCAGTCATGTCTGACTCTTCATGACCCCATTTGAGGTTTTCTTGGCAAAGATACTGAAGTGGTTTGCCATTTCCTTCTCTAGCCCATTTTATAGATGAGGAAACTGAGGCAGACACAGTGAAGTGACTTGCTCAGGATCACACAGCTAGTAAGTGTCTGAGGCCAGATTTGAACTCAGGTCTTCCTGACTCTGGGCCCAGTGCTCTATCCAATGTGCCATTTAGCTGCCTCTCAGGAGCCCAAAGAGCTTGTTGTTTATGTTTATGTGTATGTGTATGTGTATATGTGGGTATTATGTATATATATGTATATGTGTATATATTATATATATATATGTATATGTGTATATATTATATATACACATTTATACACATTGGCATTTGCCATATTAGAAATTAAAGATGGGAAATAATTACATATTTATTAAATCATAAAAAATAATAATAAACTTATTAAACATTCACATAAATGATAGTTTTATGAAAAATAACTTTTATTTTCCAAAACAAAAATTAGTGAAAAGAGTGTCATTGTTTCACGTATTTTTGCAATTACGTTAATACTTGGCTTACTAGAAGACAGCTTGATTCTCCTATATGCTTCTGTATCCAATCTATTGTGATATGTTGTTTTTTGTTGAAGTATATGAAGAAAATCTGGCTACACACCTTTGTAATTGGAAAAGGCAAGAGTATTTTAATAAGAAAGTGATAATTTAGTACTATTATGAAAATGGTTTTGACCTTGAGGACCCTCCGAAAGGGTGTCAGTGATCCGCAGTGAGGACCACACTTTGAGAAATGCGGGCCTCGTGGACAGAGTGTTTCAGAGACACGGAGTCGTGGGGCCAAACCCTGGGCCTGACCTGTGTAGTAAAGGGACAAGTCACTTCTAATCTCTTAGTACTCTAGGCAACTCTCTCAGTGTATAAATGACAGAAAAGGGGTAGAAGGGGTTTCTTCACCTGGGAGTTCATTGTACTAGTGAGATCCCGAGTTTAGTCCCTGTCCCTGTCTGTATTTGATTGCTTCCAAATGACGCCTTCCAGGCCAGACTCGCCTTTTCCTCAGTCCCCATTTCCATTTTAGCAGAGGGAGATCTAGATTCAGATTCTGCCTCTGACTATTTTTGGGGTCATAAGGAAGTCATGTGACTCTGAGAGTTCTTTAAAACTACAAGAAAGAGGCAAGTTGAAAATCTGAATCAGTGAATTCTGTGGCAGAGAAGCTCTTCATACTGTTGAAATCACAGTCATCAAATTGCTTGTTATTTGGTGTTGATATTTGGATTTTTGGTAAGATTGACAAAATATATAATATTGCTTATATAATTGACTAAATCTATAATAAATATGTATACATACTTAAAAATAAATGTATATATAAATACATCAAAATGCCCTTGATTCCTTCAGGGAGAGAACTTACCTTAATTTCATTTTTACAAAAACCTTTTGGCTTTTTCTTGTCTAGGTGCTTGTGCCTTTGACAAAATGAAGAATCTTTTTTTTTTTTTTTTTGGTGAGGCAATTGGGGTTAAGTGACTTGCTCACAGTCACACAGCTAGTGAGTGTTATGTGTCTGAGTCCAGATTTGAACTCAGGTCCTCCTGACTTCAGGGCTGGTGCTCTATCAACTGCACCCCCTTGATGCCCCCAAAGAATCTTTTTTTAATATGAATAAGCACACCTCAAGATACAACTAACACCTGTATCATAAAACCTTCAAAAGTTTGTTCGATTCTATCAGCCACACAGAGAAAAAGATAGAAGACTTGGAAAACTGAAAGGACAATTATGTGATCTCAGCTTTCACTAAATAATACCATATTTTGATAGGCAGACATACATATACACACATATATTTATTATATATGTATGTATATATACTATATGTGTGTATGTCTGTATCTATATATACATATACATATGAATGTATTTTTTTTTCTCTCTCCTCTTCAGGCCAGCTTTTATAAATCCGCTAGTCACTGAAGGTCCAGAGGAAGAAGAACTCTTCAAGCAAGGAGAACGTATGCCATTTTGTATATAATAGCCTAAGAAAACATACTAAATTGAATCCTGGGGAGGTTTTAAGATTATTACAGGAACTCCGTGCTAATCAAATGTTCCCTTCATTTGGGATATTGCTAATTTTTCAGGTTTGCTTTTTAGAAGCCTCACCCACTTTGACCAGGGACTTGGATTGAATTGTAAACTGTAAACTGTAAACCAAACCAGAATGAACAGTATTAATTTGCTGAATCCCAAATTCAAATGCTAATACATTTTTACTGATTCGTAAACTAAACCAAAGTCTTTCCCCCCAAGGACTACTTAATGTGTTCTAATAAATTCATCAAATTTATTGAATGACTTTTGAGCTGTGAGGCATGAAAGGCAACAAAATATGAGTATAACACACAACCCCTGCCTTCTAGGAGACCTCAGGCTAGTGGGTAGGAGAGGGGCGGGGTGGAGATCTAGGAGCGGATTGGAGGTTGGGAGATAAGGAAAGAACAAGAATGATACAAACAACACAAAACAGAATATGACAATGTATGAGAGGTACTAAGAGCTTTGGGCTGTTGGAGGTACGAGAGTTCATTTCTGGTTGGGAGAATCTGAGAAGGCTACTTAGAAGAGGTGGTATTTGAACTGGGCCCTTTTTGCATGAAATTACCCACATAATGCTTTTTAAATGAATGAAGCATTATTGTACTTCATGTGAAAATATACTTTGGTGGGGAGAAAATAATTCAGTTTATTTTACTATAAAGAATTAGTGAATCAAGGGCAGCTAGGTGGCAAAGTGGATACAGCACTGGCCCTGGAGTCAGGAGGACCTGAGTTCAAATGTGGCCTCAGACATTTACTAGCTGTGTGATCCTGGGCAAGTCACTTAACACTGACTGCCTCCTTAAAAAAAAAAAAAAAGATAATTCAACTTTTAAAATAAACTCTATCCTCTATGCTTCCTTAAACTACCAGTCTAGAATATAACAAAAATATCAGTGCTGCCGAACCTGTATTTCATTTGGATCCAGTTATTACTCTCAACATTACATAATGCTGTAAGGATGTAGACGTTTAGAGAGACAAGATTATATTAGTTGCAAGTGAATGAAAGAGTATAGTATAGACTTCTTAGATATTGCTTGTTACTCTAATTGTGGTGCATTGTGAGCTTTTTGAATTTCTCTTTTCTAGTGAATAAGGGGAAGAGAATTGCCTCCACTACTGCATCCTTATTGAAGATGGCTCCCACTGCAGAAGAAAGGCTTGCAGTTCATAACATGTTCCTTAATACACTGGACCCAAGGTAAGTTGGGGCAGACAACTTGAAGAGAGGGAGAGTATTTGTTGAATATGGACTTTTTGATGAGCTAAGTTTAATGTATTTCAAATTGACGTACACATTTCATTTTATTTTTATTTATTTTTTTATTTAGTATTTTATTTTCCCCTTACATGTAAAAACAGCTTCTAACATTTGTTTTTAAAACCTTGAGTTCCAAATTCTCTCCCTTCCTCTCCCCCTCCCATTGAGAAGGCAAGCATTTCAATATAGGTTATACATGTGTTGTCATGCAAAACATATTCAGAATAGTCATGTTGTGAGAGAAAACATAGACTAAAAACAAAACAAAATAAAACACCTCAAGAAAAATGAAGTAAAAAAAAGTATGCTTCAATCTGTATTCAGACACCATCAGTTCTTTCTCTGGGGATGAGTAGCATTTTTCATCATAAGTCCTTCGGAGTTGTCTTGGATCATTTTATTGCTGATAATAGCTAAGTCATTCATAGCTGATCATCTCATAATATTACTGTTACTTGTACACAGTGCATTTCACTTTGCATCAGCCCATGCAAATCTTTTCAGGTTTTCTGAGAGCATCCTGCTCATCGTTTCTTACAGTACAATATTATTCCATCATAATCACATACTACAACTTGTTCAGTCATTCCCCAACTGATGAGCATCCTCTTAATTTCCAACCCTTTACTCCAGAAAAGGGCTGCTATAAATATTTTTTGTACATGTAGGTCCTTTTCTTTTTCTTTTTCTTTTTTTATCTCTTTTGGGAAACAGACCTATATGAGTGAGTGAATGACTGTGTGTGTGTGTGTGTGTGTGTGTGTTTAAATGTAACAAGGACACAAAATTCTGACAATGTTTTCCCCTTCCTTAAAAACATTTACCATTGTTGCTTACCTCCGTAAGTTTTGGGAATCACCGATGGCACTTCTTTTTCAACCAAAAATGTGAAATGGAAGACATTGGTAGTCTCTTTTTTCGTTCTGTTTTCACATTTGTTAACCTTAGAACTAAATGATTTATTGTATTGATTTAAGGCTGCTTCCTTAAAGTGAGTTCTCTTTTAAAGGAAAAAAAAACCTGCCGGGGCATAGGTCAAAAAGTAACACTTAGGTTTTATGTTTTATATACCACAGATAGATTTTGTACAAGGCAGAATTTGGAAAAAAACAAAAACAAAACAAAACAAAACAACAAACCAATGCAACCTCTATTTGGAAAAATATGACAATTTTCTTATTCCTTGATTGTGCCAGGTCTCTTAATGATGTTTGTATCTTATTAATAAAATTCTTATAATAAAATAATTGAACAAATCTTAATTTGCACAGGACTATAAGTTTTCAAAGTCGAGTTTTACCTCCAGATTCAGTGTGGATGGAAGATACAAAATTGAAGAGCCTGCACATATGCCAGCCTCAGGTATTGTAATTGTTTTGGTCTGTACTTGTATATTAAAGAAGAAGAAAAACAGTAAAGAAATAGAATGCCTACTGGTGAGTTATTCACATCCTTCTTAAGGCTTGATTTCTTCTGTTTCCTTAGTATAGTTCTTTTTTTATGTGTTACATATAACTTTGTGTATTTTAAACACAGGAACGGAACATTTTCAATAGAATCTTTGGAGGTTTCCTTATGAGAAAAGCATTTGAACTTGGTTGGGCTACTGCTTATCACTTTGCGTAAGTTGTGATGTACACATTGATAGTAATTCTAAATATTTTGGTGAGGTCTAGATGTGCTTTTCCTAAAAATAATGACAGGTTACTAGTTTACATGCTTGAATTGAATTTTCATTTAAGAAAAGTATCTCTCTTAATCCTCAAATTTTAGACCTGCTGAGAGAAGGGTGCTTTTTGACTTGGGTCTGGTGTCAGAGTTGGCTTCTCTTGCCTTTCCGACATGATAATAATTTCTTTCTTTTTTTTTAATTTATTTTTGTTTACTATTTTGTCTAGTTGGTATAAGAAAGAATGAATGAAAAAGCATTTATTAAATGCTTATGATATACTAGGCACTGTGCTAAGCTCTGGAAATACAAATACAAAAGCAAAGACAGTCCTTGCCTTGAAAGAGCTTACATTCTAATAGGGAAATCAGCATACGTAGGAAAATTGTGGCCTGAGGTGGGGTACTTTGCTCCTAAAAGCTATGGGAATGGTGAGTAGGGCCTTAGGAGAGTAGCATAATGGAAGAGTTGATTTTGATCGTGATTGCAGAATTGGAGAGTAGGGGAGGCTTAGTTGGAAGGGGTATACTTTAGAATGCAAGTTAATTGGTGAGACTATCAAGATGACTTGGCATTAAGGAATGGAATGAAGCATTTACTGGGAATTTCCTGAAATAATGGTCCTGGAAAGGTCATCACAATCAAGACTGTGGGGGTCCCAGGACGAAAGAGAAATAGAAATACTCTTTGATCTGTGTAGACCCTTGAAACACAATTCTCTCTTCCATCAATAGTGGTTCCAGACCTTTTATAGTTGCTGTAGATGATATCATGTTTCAGAGGCCTGTTGAAATTGGATCACTGCTATTCTTTTCTTCCCAGGTAGGTGTGAAATGAGAAATTAAATAATATTTTCTTTGTTTATTTTGGCAGTAAAGAAAGAGAAGACATGTTTCTATATCTTAGGGTTATTTTTTCTCTTATAATTGTCTTTTTTTTCTAATTCTTAGTAATGTGGTTGACTAAGTTCCTCTTTATTTTTAAAAATATTCTCTTAGGTTTGTTTTACTGAAAAGGATCACATTCAAGTTAGAGTACACAGTGAAGTAGCTTTCCCTGGCACTAAAGAGCACAAGACTACCAATGTCTTCCATTTCACATTTTTGGTTGAAAAAGAAGTGCCATCAGTGATTCCCAAAACTTATGGAGGTAAGCAACAATGGTGTATGTTTTTAAGGAAGGGGAAAACATTGTTAGAATTTTGTGTCGTTTTTACTTGTTATATTTAATACACACACACACACACACACACACACACACACGCTCTCACTCTCACTCGCATAGCTCTCTCTATTCTGATTACTAGACACAGTATTTTGTATAATAAGTTCTTAGATCCCTGCTTCTCAGCTTCCAGCTTGGGCTTGAGAGCCCCTGCCAAAAAAGACATGTGAGCAGTTGTATTAGCATGTGCCCTTTCTTGCTATTGTTTTTCACTTTTGTTTTTACATCATCTTCATTTTCCTTTCTCTCCCTACTTTCCAGTGTGTCATCTTTTCCAACATAGAAGAAAGTAAAATAAAAGTAGTTTCTGAAATTAACACATGAAACACATGTGTATTTCACACGAAACACATGAAAGCGGGTCTGGTCGTATATGTCATTTTTCATTTTTTTTGTATATAGTCTCCTAGTTCTGCAAAGAAAGAGGGGGATGTATATTGCCTACTGCTTGTGAGTAGCTTCTGCAGTCTATGAGGACCCATAGGAGACAGTCATTCCTACTATTAGTTGATTGGTGGTAGCAACCAGAGTGTGCTCCACAGTCTACATCTCCAGCCTGTGAGCAAAAGAGTGGGAATCTTCTCATACCACTCTTTAAAGTCTCCTAACCTTCCATATAGCAAATGATCAAGGAGCTTACATTTGATTGGGGGAAGAGAACATATTTATATTATTAGCTATTATTATTATTTCCCCTTCATTTTCATACTTATGAGTTGGGTGACAGATTGGAGGTAGGGTATACTCCGGGTGATCTTCCATCTAGCAAATGATTGTCAGAGAAGCCTCTTAGAAGATTTTGGTGGCATATCACTGTTACTGGTTCACTTGTTTTCCATTATCTACTCATGTCCTGATTTGCTGAGATAGATAAGTTTCTCAAGTAGCAATCTTTCATTTCAGATTCCATGTTATATTTGGATGGTCAGCGACATTTCATGGGCACAATGGATCAAAAAGCCGGTGGAACAGCTATTACCCAGTGACACCCTAAAAAAATGCTACCTTTTGGAAAGTGAGGATGAGAGAACATATGGTATTTAAGGAGGGTAGAAAAAGAATTGTGCTAAATGCTAAAAAAGCATTCTCACACCTGTCAGAACTGCCAGAAAGTTTTTGATAAAAAAACCAAACTCTTAAAATAATTAAAATTGTGTTCATAACCTAATTTTGTACTATATTGCTTCCATTTTCTTCTCTGCCAAAGAAGCAGGACAAGTTGATTTTTCTAAACACTTGTGGCAAATTATTTTGCTGCACATGTATTGCATATCAACATTAAAGATTCACTGTATCATTTTACCATTTCTTAAACCTTTGTCACATTGTCTCTGCTTTTTATCTAAAAGTCTGGTGGGATTTTGTTCTTCTTCAGTTCTGCTCCCACCCCAGGCAGCTTGGCACAGTGTTGGATTTGGAGTTAGGATAGAGTTCAAATCCTGCCTCAGACATTTATCAACTGTGTGATTCTGGGCAAGTGACTTAACCTTTCTGTGGCTCAGTTTCCTTATCTGTAAAAATGGGGATAATAACAGCACCTACCTCAGGATTGTTGTTAGACTCAAATGAGATAATATATATATATATATAAAGTGCTTTGCAAATCTTTAAAGTGCTATGTAAATGTTAGCTTTTATTATTATCTTCCCCTTAGTTTTCTAACATATAAGGTAGATGGATAACATATTGTGGTTAGGGAATGCTCTAAGTGGTAGCTTCTTGTTAGCATTCTTGAAGATTTGTAGGAAACTGAAAGATAGAATCTCCCTCCCTACTTCTACCTTTTGTAACTCCTAGCTCTCTACAGGGCTCTGTTCAGTTATCACCTTCTTCAAGAAACCTTTCTGGATTCCTCCAGTTATTACTTCCCAAGCCCACATCAAACACTTTATTTTGTATATATTCTATATCTACTTCTTTGAAAACATTCTATTAAGGTATAAACTCCTTGAGGACAGAGAGTGTCTCACTTCTGCATCTTTTATCCCTAGGGCATGGTGCCTGGGATTTAATAAGTGTTTGTTAATTGTTGGAGCAGGAACAGACTTTAGGAAGAGAAATAGTACTTTGACTGAAGCAAGTTGCAGCTAGAGAGGATTTTGCTCCTCTCCTCTGAGTCCCTCTGTCTGACTCAGTGAGAAGCAGCAGTGGTGACTTGCAGTGAAAATAGATGGCAGAAAGAGAGGAGCTCAAAAGTGTCCTCAAAAGAGAGGAGGAAAAGCAGTATTCCTTAAGCCCAACCTCTTGCATTTGGGGGAGTGGGGGTAGAATTTGAATTTCCCAGGAATCACGATCTCAGAATTTAACCCTCGTAGCAGAGAAAGGAGATTTCTTGGGCACCTTCATCTTTGAGAGTTGCCTCATGGGTAATTCCAAGTTCAGGAGTTCCTGTGTTGAGTTTGGGGGATGGCATCTTCTAGAGAGGAAAGATTTCCTGATGCATCCTATACTTTGTAGGAGGAAGATAGTCCACATAGTTCCTGAGCAAGATCCTGCTTGGAAAAACAAAGCCAGTGAGTTTCTCGGACAGCGCAGGTCTAGAAGGGGCTGTTTTAGTTCAGTAAGCTTCAAAACAAAACTTTCTGGTGGGAGTCTGAGCCACAGAGCGGTCTGACAAGTCTGGGGAAACTGTAGGGACTCTGGAGAGTAGAGACTTTGGAGTCCTGTAATGTCTTATCCATTTTTTTGTGGAGTGAAATGAAGGCTGTACCATTTGTATGTAGAGTTCCTGTGTAATTTTGTTGTTATTTTTTATGGCTCTATCAAATCATTTTTTGGTAGTTTTGATTGTTATGATACTGAATAACTAAATTAATTTGGGAAGAATTTTCATTTTTATTATATTAACTTGGCCTACCCATGAGCAATTGATATTTTTCTAGTTATTTAGATCTGACTTTATTTGTGTGAAAAGTGTTTTGCAATTATGTTCGTATAGTTTCTGGGTTTGTCTTGGCAGGTGAACTCCCAAATATTTTATATTGTCTAGAGTTATTGTAGATGGAATTTCTCTTTTTATCTCTTACTGTTTGACTTTGTTGGTAATATATAGAAATGCTGATGATTTGTGTGGGTTTATTTTATAATCCTGCAACTTTATTAAGTTGTTGATTATTTCAAGTAGTTTTTTAGTTGATTCTCTAGGATTCTTTAAGTATACCATCATATCATCTGCAAAGAGTGATAGTTTTGTTTCCTCATTACTTATTTTAATTCCTTCAATTCTTTTTCTTCTCTTATTGCTAAAGCTAACATTTCTAGTATAATATTAAATAATAGTGGTGATGATGGCCATTCTTGTTTTACTCCTGATCTTATTGGGAAAGCTTCTAGCTTATCCCCATTACATATACTTGCTATTGATTTTAGATACGTATTATTTATCATTTTAAGGAAAACTCCATTTATTTCTGTGCTCTGTAGTATTTTTAATAGGAATGGGTGCTGTATTTTGTAAAAAACTTTTTCTGCATCTTTTGAGATAGTCATATGACTTGGTAGTTTTTTTTTATTGATATGGTCAATTACGGTGATAAGTTTTCCTAATATTGAACCAGCCCTGCATTCCTGGTATAAGTCCCACCTAGTCATAGTGTATTATCCTGGTGATGGATTGCTGTAATCTCTTTGTTAATATTTTATTTAACATTTTTGCATTAATACTCATTAGGGAAATTGGTCTATAATTTTCTTTCTCTGTTTTGGCTCTTCCTGGTTTAGGTATAAGCACCATATTTGTGTCATAAAAGGAATTTGGTAGGACTCCTTTGCTTATTTTTCTCAAATGGCTTATATAATACTGGAATTAATTGTTCTTTAAATGTTTGGTAGAATTCACTTGTAAATCCATCTGGCCCTGGGGATTTTTTCTTAGGGAGTTCACTGATGGCATTTTCAATTACTTTTTCTAAAATGGAATTAAGTATTTTATTTCCTCTTCTGTTAATCTGGGCAGTTTATATTTTTGTAAATATTCATCCATTTCACTTAGATTGTCAGATTTATTGGCATACAGCTGGGCAAAATAGTTCCTAATTATTGCTTTAATTTCCTCTTCATTGGTGGTGAATTCACCCATTTAATTTTTGATACTGATAATATGGTTTTTAAATCAAATTAACCAAATTTATTGTTTTTTTCCCATAAAACCAGCTCTTAATTTTATTAGTTCAATAGTTGTCTTACTTTCAATTTTATTAATCTCTCCTTTGATTTTCAGGATTTCTAATTTGTATTTAATTGGGGATTTTTAATTTGTTCTTTTCCTAGCTTTTTTAGTTGCATGCTCAATTCATTGATCTGTTCGTTCTCTATTTTATTCATGTAAGGATTTAAAGATATAAAATTTTCCCTAAGAACTGCTTTGGCTGCATGCCCAAAAGTGGGTGTGTTGTCTCATTATTGTTGTTCTCTTTGATGAAATTGTTTCTGTGATTTGTTGTTTGACCCACTCATTCTTTAAGATTATATTACTTAGTTTCCAATCAATTTTTAATCTATCTTTCCATAGCTTTTTATTACATGTAATTTTTTATTGCATTATGATCTAAAAAGGATGCATTTAATACTTCTGCCTTTCTGCATTTGATCATGATGTTTTTATGACCTGATACGTGGTCAATTTTTGTGTAGGTGCCATGTACCACCAAGAAAAAGATATATTCCTTTCTATCCCCATTCAGTTTTCTCCAGAGGTCTATTTTATCTAACTTTTCTAAAATTCTATTCACTTCTTTAACTTCTTTTATTGTTAGATTTATCTATTTCTGAGAGGGAAAGGTTGAGGTCCCCCACTAAAATAGTTCTGCTGTCTACTTCTTCCTATAACTCACTTAACTTCTCTAAGAATTTGGCTGGTATACCACTTGGTGTATATATGTTTAGTACTGATATTATTTCATTGTCTATGGTACCTTTTAGCAGGTTGTAGTTTCCTCTCATTTCTTTTAATTAGATCTATTTTTGCTTTTGCTTTGTCTGAGATTAGAATTGCTACCCCTGCTTTTTTTTTTACATCAGCTGAAGCATAGTATATTCTACTCTAGTCTTTTACCTTTATTCTGTGTGTATTTCTCTGCTTCAGATGTGTTTCTTATAAACTTATTTGTAGGATTCTGGTTTTTTTTTTTTTTTGGTGAGGCAATTGGGATTAAGTGACTTGCCCAGTGTCACACAGCTAAGGATTTGGGTTTTTAATCCACTCTGCTATCCATTTCTATTTTATGGGAGAGTTCATCCCATTCACATTCACAGTTATGATTGCGACTTATGTCTTTCTCTCCATTCTATTTTTCCCCCTGTATACTTTTCTCTCTCCTCTCACCCTCTCCTTCTTCACCAGTATTTTGCTTCAGACCACCACCTCCCTCAATATTCCCTCCCTTTTCTTTCCCCTTTTCCCTCCTACTTCTGCTCTCCCTTCTATCAGCCCTTCCCCACTGCTTGCTTTCCTCTCCTACTTCCTTATAGGATAAGATAAATTTCTATACTCAACTGAGTGTGTATGTTATTCCCTCTTTGAGCCAAATCTGATGAGAGTAAGATTCAAACAATGCTCACCCTCCTTTTTTTCCCTCTCTATTGTAACAGGTCTTTTGTGCCTCTTCATGTGATGTAATTTACCCTATTCTGCCCCCCCCTTTTCCTCTTCTCCCAGTATAATCCTTTTTTCACCCCTTTTAAAAATATCATTAAAGTCAACTTATACTCATAGTCTCTGTCTATGTGTATACTCCTTCTAACTGCCCTAACAGAAATATAGTTCTCAAAAATTACAAATATTATCTTCCCATGTAGGGATGTAAATAGTTTAAGCTTATTGAATAACATTTTTTCCCATTTACCTTTTTGTTTCTCTTGAGTCTTATATTTTAAGATCTAATTTTCTATTCAGCTCTGATCTTTTCATTAGGAAAGTTTAAAAATCCCTTATTTCATTGAATGTCCATCTTCTCCCCTGAAAGATTATGCTCAATTTTGCTGGGCAGTTTTTTGGTTGTAATCCAAGCTCCTTTCCCTTCTGTAATATCATATACCAAGCCCTCTGATCCTTTAATGTTTGAAGCTGCTAAGTTCTGTGTAATCCTGACTAGGGCACCTTGATATTTAAATTGTTGCTTTCTGGCTGCTTGCAGTCTTTTCTCCTTGATCTGATAATTGTGGAATTTG